TGCACCCTGCACCATGGCAAGTGTCACGGCCTGCCAGTCTTCGTCTAGACCTTGTCCAAATGCTCAGCCTTCTATGGGTTGCACAAGTCGAACGCATGCGTCAATACCCTGAGACTCCTATCAAGTTTTGTAGGCACATGCGCGCCCTCATATCTGCCCACTCAACAACATCATCTCCCAACCAGAATTGGTGTTTTCACAATCAAACTACTCCGAGTGTGAGCCGTTGCGCTTGCTAAGCAAACCATATCTGCGCTCAGTATGTGGCATGCTATTCCAACCGATTGTGTGATTACGAGTAGCATTATTATGGTTGCTAGACCCTCCCTGAACCCTGTATTCTACCAAGACAATGCAACGTCTACCATCTTGCAACAGTAGCAGGCAGACCCTTCGCCAAGATGGTTGCCCCGTTACACTGTTTCTTCAACTTTGATTAGCTATCCAGTCCATTAGCTAATCAAGACGCTTAAATCACAATGTATGCACCCCCACATAGCTTCCTTTCAAGTGTAATACCACAAGGAAATTCCATATACTATTGTATCGGCTTGCAAGAACTTCATGATTTCTTTAGGTCTGCGCAGCAAAAATGTCTCCATCTTCAAGGGCAGAAAAGATGCGAGCCGTGGACACAGGGTTTCTTGCCCGGGTCAACTAACGGCTTACCGCCTCTGTAAGTACTTCGGCTCTCAACCCCGTTCGTTCAGGCGATCCCCTTGAGAGTTGACTCTGAGTCATGCACGGAGTGGTATCAGAGACATTTTTACAACAATCGTCATTTTTGCAAGCAATGTAACCAGACCCAGTATGCTACTCCATGGTCTTACACTACATGCGATGTATACCTCTCGGCTCTATCATACGGTGCTTGATATGAAAAAGAAGCTGCGAAAACAGCGAGCAACGTGAGTGGTATCTCTATCTTGCGGAAACTTCATGATGGAGACAACGAATGTGATTTCGCTTTCTATTGCTCATAGTGGCAATGCCATAAAGCTCCACGGATTGAATTTCATCGCGGTGCCTCTGAATGTGGCCGGTACCATCTCCCGATGCGGCAACTCAAGCTCGGCCGTACCTAACGAGACCCATTGCGGTCTGGCCATCTTCAGGCCACCCTTTGGGGCCAAAACGCACGTAACCGTACCTGAGAGTAGAAGGAAGTTACGTTCATCAAGGAACTAAGTTTCCGACAAGGGTATCTGGCTAAATACATCAAGATCTTGTGGAGATTAGGCAACCTCAAATCCTAGTCCGTCTGTTCTGTCCACCTACACTGTATCATCAAAGTAGGCATAGATACTGTACTAGAGCAGAACACAAAAATAACAAAATTGGCTGGATCAGGCATGCTAGTTTCAAGAAGAGGTTAGACACAGGCCTAATCACTCATTGTAGGAATAAACCTCAGCTATGCTTTACATGGGTATCATAGAAAGGGATATAGCTCTTCACGATTTGGCACTGCGTTGTTTTACTACAGCAAGGGCGCTAGAAATCTCCTTGAGTTTAAACTCTCCATCACGGATCTGGGCCTAGAATGTGGGTGGCATAACAACACAGGTACTATTTGAGTGAAGAAAAAACTACAAGCATCGTTGAAGGTGCTCTACAGTGATTTACTTAGAGCTAACCTCACCATCCCACCTCGGTGTTGGGTCCAATCGGAAGTACTTGGTTGTAAGACAGAGTGGTCATTTTAACAGTAAAGCTCGGCTGTTCGGTATCTCCAAGAGGAATATCCTCCGTCTCGGCTAGCCTCGCGTTCATCCATAACTGTACATATATGGCAAATCTCCCTGCAGTTGTTCAGTATGCCTCAGTCGACCAAGATTGAGTGTCGCATAAGCGTATCGTGGCTGTGATGCCGCCTGGCTTACATTCAAAAGCGCTACTCGTTCGAGACACCAATGCAATACGAGTTACCGACCACGAAAGCCGTAGTTGACTTGCAGGATGGATTCTAGTATGTTTAGCTAAGCCTTTGTTGTAACACCACATCAGAACTCACCCATGCACCGACCGAGTAAATGGGCAAACGGTGCGCGTTGGCAATATGATTACAGTCTGTCATCCATGGTTCGGCTATTTGCCATGCGTTGCAATATTGACTAGTGTCTGGCAATGCGGTCGTTGGTGGCTCGACGACATACGCGCTGGCGGACCCAAGCGCGCATAGAAAAACTGAGGCCTGAAGCAATGAAGATATCATGATTATTTCTCGTGTTAATGAGTGCAATAAAAAAAAGCTGGGAGAATGCTGCGACGATTATTCTGCAGACCAACAATGACTATTTAAGCAACGAGTGGGGCAGTCTGAAAGGAGCGGCCAAGTCTGACTAGTAGGTCGTAGATCCAATTATTCCCACTTCAGGAAATTGACATCGTGTCTGCCGTCTCCCTATGTGGGATGGCGTAAGGCGAGCAGTCAACCGCGGACGGGTAAAGTCTTAGTGTGATTCCTACGCGGCACACTGTGAACATGGACATGCGCGACTATCGATGAAATTGGTAAAAACTGCATGATTTTATTTAAAGATCAGGCAAGAATCTATAAACAGGTCAGGAGGATTGTAAGGCTCCTCAGAGTATTATGAGCGGCCTCACAAGCCGCACTATTGCCAAGGTTAGAATGAATAGCTTTGGAGAACAGCCCACATGGCCATTTTAGGCTGAGACGCCAAGCTGAAGGAGGAAAGCAATCCTACTAATCATATTGCATCTTTATAACCAATGGAAACAAGGTCAGGTCAACCACTAGATGCTGTCTGCTAGATGGGTCTTTGTCATAATCTTACGACGAGAACAAGAACAAGAACAAAGATAACAAGGTGTTTAGCTAGTGTTTTCAGTTTGACTGTCCGGCCTTAATACAAAGTTCCGTTAAGGCTTTGCACACTTAAAGTCGAATCGTATAAAGAATACTTAACTAGCTATGCCAGTATGCCTACCCGTAAAGCGGGAAGGTATCTAAAATGCTACCAATCAACTCCCATAGATGCTGCGCAACGCTAGTGAACAGTGGCACAATGGCATGATATGAGAAAGGGCACAAAGGATATCTAGGTCAAGAGAGTCGATTGTATTGCAATGCACCGCAAACCTTCTACGTCGCAAGAGCTGGCAACGGCGTCAGGGCCATTTACTAGCTTACCGGCTGAAAGTTAAGATTTAAAGTTTCTACCTTCTTCGTATTGGTCGTGGTGGTACTTCTTCGCGTTATAGCGTAAGATTGAATTGAGCTAGGGTTTAAGAGAATATAGCTGCTCCACTAGACCATATCCAGTTATGTTCTCTTTACAGAAAGTCCCATAGACAGTAGCGTAACCTTCGAAGAGAGTTTTTCCTGAACTAATCTCTTCCAGATACGCCATTCACCGACCTTGTGTAGAATTTGAAGATCGAGGATGAGGTCAAGGGTAGGTAGTGCGAGCCGATACTTCGCATACTGCGTTAAATTGTTGTCAGCGGAAACCTATCAATCTGATTCGTGCACATTGGAATCCAGTGCATGAACCTCGTGACAACCATCAGGGAATAACACTGTAGTGAATGATGCCAGCTTGGATGTATTGTCTACGGGTTGAGTCCTCGATGCAGCTATCACTCAACCATTTGGCAGGTCGAAATTGAAAAAACCATTACCCTTTACTCGCATATCCAGAACCCCATTGATGATCCATCCACCCAAGGGAGTCCTCTTGAATCACTGTTACTATAATGCCGTTCGTAGTGATAGTACCTGCCGTAGTGATAGTACCTGCAGCCCACAGCTGGGAATACGCGATTTCGTTGATGATACCACCTCCCCACTAATGTATCTTGTTAGAAGTTCCAATCAATGCGATCAAGGTAAACTGCAATGTTTTCCTATTTATGGGTCACGTATAATCTATGTAAGGAACTTATAATCACACTAAGAGCAAGACATAACGTCCGCTCGTTTTATACATACTCCTGGCCCCTTGTGGTATAAATTGGGTCCTCATGGTTCGAATGTGAGTCCGAATGTCGCATAAGGGTCGCTACTTTCCGCATGTTGCACAGAGTCCAAATCTGGTGTACTCGCATATTGCCTGAGTATGCCATTATCGATATCATCTGTCTTGTTCGTGATAACTCCTGGAACAAGAATTTTTCCTCCATAGTACTCTCCCGTTCCAATACCTAATAGGGAGACGTAGGATTTGATATTCGAGTCAGAGGTCTGTCACTGCACTAGATTCGCTTCTTTGGATAGGTGCTAATAGATCACGCCTTAACGATGACTTAGAGAGTTGACATGTTCATCTTGGGTCGGGAAGAGGTGGTCTCCGTGAGGAATTTAATGACATTCCAGGCGTGGGCCATGTCATATCGTTCGAAAGAACTCACGTGACGTTTCTGATATACCAAACATTTGCCTCAAGCTTCAGCCAAAGCTGTGGGTATAGCACGTGGCATATTACATATGTTACCTATTGCTAGCTCACTTTTCTTGTAGAGTGCCCGGAACGAACGGTTGACCGGCTACAACTCGGAACTGGGCGGACATGATTTGAGATGATAGTCATTGCCTCACGGAATTCATCTCTATTCGTCCTGAAATGCATAATTATACCTTCGCGCTTGTACTACGCGTACTTTGGCAGCGAGGCAAACAAGCATCCAATTCAAGGATAAAGGTGGTGCATTACGCTGAAGAGCACCCAGGCTGAAAGGAACATAAAGCGGCCTAGCGCAGATCATGGCTATATGTCCAGGTTATAACCAGACTTGAGGAGGGAACGGATCTTGGTACTGGTACTGCTAGTATGTGTAGTTCTATTGGGATTACGATAACGATGGCTGGAGAAAGCCCGAGTATTACAGACGCACCAAATCCGGGCGGGCTGAGACACAATACATTCCATGAGGATAAACCTGTAGATGGGCCGCAAGAGATAGCAATCACCATACTGGTGTTTTGATAAGTCGACGAATATGTACTCATCTGGACTGCTTACCCCTCATGTACACTATATTGTGGACCACGCATTATCAATAGGAACCATAGCACCGTTTATCATTTGTGATTCGTCTGAGGCGAGGAAAGCGATGCCCCGCGCGACATGATCAACACCTATGTAGGGAACAGGTGTTCCCTCGTTATCTTTGGATACGTGAAGCTGCACAATCGGGCTAACAGAGTAAGCTATTGCCATATATAGCGAGTGGGAAGAAGACTTACAAAAAAGTATTAAAGCCGGCCGAATCAAAATGCTCCATCTGCACTGAACTTGCAATGTTTGTGGCGACACTTCCTGGCAGCACGCCATTGCAGCGAATTCCTTCATTATGGAACCGCCACGCAACATTCTTGGTAGCACCAACCTATTGCTGCGTCAGTACTAACCATGCACATGGGAATTGTCTACGTACTAGGCCATGCTTGCTGGCCGTGTAAGCAATTCCTGCACTCGCGCCAGACATGCCCGCCTTGCTAGCCACGTTGACAATTACACCCTTTTTCTGTGCCTTCATGGCGGGAAGTACTGCCTTCATCATACGAATCGGCACATTTAAATTAATAGCCATGACTCTTTCCCATTCTTCCTCATGGATAGTATCGGCGCTACTCCACCCGTCGCTAATACCCGCGCAGTTGACCAAGACATCGATACGATCGTGCTTGCCAATGCATTTTGCCACGGCATGTTCAACGGCTTGGGAATCAGTAAGATCGGTCTGGTAGAAGATAAAGGTCGAAAAGTCCTCGGCCAGCTTTTGAGGCTGTGCACCAATGTCTATGCCAAAGACAGAAGCTCCACGTTCCAAGAAGAGGCGCGTTGTCGCGAGGCCAATACCGGAACTGCACCCGGTGATTATAGCAACCTTGTCTTGAAGGGAAGCGATAGACATTGCGCAGAATCGAAGCTTTATCAATAAGACTGGACAATAGGATATGATTTGTACGATGGTGATGCATGTGATTATTTGGTGGGCGATGCGCAGCGCCGGAAAATCTAGCATGACGTCAACGGTTAGCGCGATCACCTGGGTTAGGGTTAAACCTACTTGGGTGTTCAAAGGCACAACATAAGTTTACATGTATTCTTCTACGACTCTACGCCTACAGTGACTGCTCCGAATCCAATCATACAAATGGAGTTCGCCCTTGGCTCAAACAGCCACCACCCTTAGACTCGGTACACCACACCCTGATGTGATTCTTCTCGATTACTCTACTGGATCACCTCCTCCATGCGATGCACATCGCTGTCCTTGGTCCATCTTCTAATCTTCTTGCCGAGACCATAGTATAGCGGGAATGCGAAAAGAGCCGGGCCAACGGTGCAAGCGAAGATGACCATGGCCGGCGTCATCCAGCCATCTTTACTTTCATGTGCCAGATCAAAGACCCAATAGCTATACGAGAAGGCGATGAAGTTCTTACATACAGTTGCCACCACCATGATTTCGCCAGAGATAGGTTTGTAGCAGTCGATTGCATAAGCGATGCAGATGGTAGGCACCGTGGTGACACTAAGCCCGGCGAAGCCATAGCCCCACACAACAATGTGGCCCCATGCCCATTGGTGCTGGTAGGCTAAGCCTCCAAGGATCAAAGAGAGCATGGTGATGATCATGTAAAACCAAAGTGCAGGAAGACGCATCTCTGCTTCACGCACACCACCATTCTTGCGAGTCGCCCGAGCAGCCACCCAATCGGAATACGGGCCTGCTGTCGCAAGACCCACTAGCGCACCGATGGCGAAGGCGAAGTTCGTGTAGCCAACTTGGTCGGGTCGGAAGAGGTACGGTGGCGCCGCAAGGATCGGAGACTCTGTGATGTTGAAAAAAAGAAGAAGATCGGCCGGACCAGCCAGCATCAACCCAGCCCATAGGATAATGGGGTTGAAGAAGACCTTGATAGGAGTCCATGTATCGCGGACAACAAACATCTTCCATCTAGGGTCGGGCTTCCGGAATGGCATAAATTGTGCACGAGACGGGCAGCCATTCGCCACGAGAGAAACATCAGACGTATCCTGGCCCAAGTCGTTGGCTGTAGTAAGCGTGGCTTGTTTTTCGAGCTGGTTATCGTCTTCACTGCTGCGCTCGCTGTTCTTGGCTTGTACTGGACCATTGGTTGCGACGGCAGTGCCGCCACGATGGTACTTCGTTTCCGGGAAGGTGAATGCAATAAGAATGATTGAGACACCTGAAAGTGCTGTCTCGAGCCAGAAGAACGATTGCCAGCCATAATGGGCTCCAATAGCACCTGCCATAATAGGACCTAGGAAGGCCCCCATGAAATATCCAGTGCTACATCAATGTTAGGAGTTACTCACGCGTCTCATGGCTGCACTTATACTTACAAGTAGACGCCCGTCCACAGGCCTCGTTCGTGCAGATAAAAGACATCAGCAATCATCTGGACGGGAATGCTCTCGCTGGTCGCACACACTAGACCATTCACCGCCCTAGCTGCCAGCAGACTGCTATGGCTCGTTGCTAGTGCCTGCCACACGCATGTCAAAAGAATCAGTACAGAAAACACCAAACTAATGGCGCGACGTCCAAAGATGTTGGACAGTGGCACAATGATGAAGTTTGCGAAACCGAGCGTAATGACAGTAATACCAGTCAACATGGCCAACTGATTGTTGTTTAAGTGGAACTGTGCACCAAGCAGTGGAAACATTGGGGCTATGGATAGCGCACCAGTCACAGATATCCACGTAAAGAGCCATTGCGAGGCCATCACCATCACTGTGATCGGTCAGTATGGCGACAATAAGTGTCTTTTGGAAAACATACTCTTCCATTTACGGCTCCAGTTGAGGGGGTCTCGTGGATCAGAAGACGGCTTCGGAATGAGTTGTTTCTTCACCGAACCATCATTGTTCATGAGCTCCGTGCCAGGGATGAGCTCGACATTGTCGGGGCTAGCGGCCATCTTTTTACAGTTGGTATTGATAGATCATGGAAGTTGATGTTGATCTGGGTTGGATGGAGTAGAAAGAACACTTATGTAGTCTCCGGGTACAATGCGGCATTCACACCAATGATGCTCTACATTCTGCCGACGGTGCACTTCAAGTCCGCGCCGGAGAATGCGTCGATGCGAGAACGATGATTGGAACACGATCTGCAGTCAGAAACTTTGATCATCGTTCCAGCTCTGTGAACTGGTTGGTTGCTGTCCTGACACTATCGGTTCAAGTTGCACTAAGCAAGGACTGCGACGATGTGTCTGGCTCGCACCTCCGTAGTGCATAGCTGACCCTTGCAAAATTTCCATTCACGATGCATTTTCAGTCTTGGCAATAGTTCGTAGAGGCCTGGATAGCACGGTTCCCGTGTTTAGGATCCTTTGAGAGCAAGTTCTACGCGACAGTATACTACACAGCCTCTAATTTCCTGGAGGTAGGACATGCAGGGCGGTGTGTACGACACTGGCCTCTATGGAAAAGTATCAATAGGCGTGCGGACCGTGTCAGCAACTCTTCTTCTCATTGATCCGAGGAGCATGGTGGCGACAGCTTCAAACAATCGCTTTACAAGCGTGTCAACACTATCTGGTTTTTCTCTCCAGACTCGGAGTTCCGGAACTTGCGAAAGTTGGATTGTGGAGTCGGGCCTTGGATAACAGAGGAGCTAGCATGCACCACTTCGCAAAGATGGGGGCTACGATAGACCTGAGGCTTGACTACTCCCGGCTTTGAAAGTGGAGACCCACGTCTGTGCTAGCGACGGGCGCCGCCCGGGATCGCGCGTCGGAACTGCGGGGAGGCGTGCTGACAGTAATGCACCATCGTCAGCCCTGGATGGACAACATCGCGAGAATTGCGTTTCCAAACATCTCATACTTTTCAATTCTGAATTCTGCAGGTTTCCTTTTATAGCAAGAATTGGTACCGTCCTAAACATGTGCACTCCGTGCCGGTGGTCAGTACTATGAGTGAGCTGACGGCAAGGCGCAAACACAACCAGCGCTCGCAAGTGTTGAACTTACCAGACAAGAGAAGAGCCTATTGGTTTCTTATTCAACGATGGTACCTGAAAGAAGAAAGATGCGGATAACGCCTGCATGGTTGAGTGTTGGTGAGACACGATTCCCATAAGCGTACCCCTGCAGCCCCAAGGGTTTGTCGGAGCCACGATGTCCAAGAAACCTATTAAGGATTGAGACTATTATTTGATTTTCTAAGATATCTGGTTCTCTATAAATACTAGTGTCTTTTGGCGTCTGCATGTGGCCTGTATCACTAAAGTCGCATACGTTTGAGGGCTGGTATCTTATCCTAAACCAACGCATATATCGGATAGCCTAGCAAATGAACCAGAAAGATAAATAAGTAGCCCTGATAGTATAACTTTGCTACATTCTATAGTACCTTTTCGGTGCGTAGCTGATAAATGCGATTGTGCCGCCATTCGTACCGGACTTCCGCTGGCCACGATCTTTTCGGGAACAACCCAAAATGCCTTGATGCAAAATTGGTATCAACGGGTTCGACCGACAATCCAACGGCTTGACAAACTGTAGCTCTATTTCTTGCCAACCTTTCGATCGTTTCAGACTAAAGCCAGGGAACAAGATATAGCATACCTGAAATGACCAATCACAAAGCTCACAGCGCGTTCACGAGTTATATGGGTGAAGAAGAATATAGTTGTTGATCAGGAACCAAAACACAATAGCACCAGTCTAGTACCAAGGAATCTAAAGGTTTCAGAGCCATTTCCAATCTTGAAGTGGGGGTCCACCCGCTTTCCGTGCACACTAACTTACGCTAGGATCTTTACCATCCAAGGAATTACCATCCGCCCCAAGTCATCTCACTCCTGCTCATATTCATCCAAGCTTGTTGAAAAGGCCTTTCCGGATGTATATTACAACGTTTGACATGCCTTCGCAGTCGCACATGTCGTAGCATATTGAAAAGTATGCTCATGCAAATATAGAATTTTCCGTCACCATCTTCACTTCCAGCAAGCGAGATACCAACTATATGTAGCTTGAAAATGGGACCGTGACTAATTGATCACAAATGGGGTACTGTAAATTACGGAATATAGCTCTTATTATCGAAGAATTGAGTACCAAATAGCTTTCAACAATAGCATCAATGTGCAAAACCTACACCTTTAGTAGCTGCTTGATACTGGCAGCGAGGCGCCAGAAACTGTTGTTAAGTAGTGCTTGCAGAACAATATCATTGGCTTTTAGGAATCTCGATCAATAAAAAGAACTTTCCTTGTCGCGAAATGCGCTGCGATTATCTCTGAAAAGTGCGACAGTACCTTAGATCAATGGATCTGCTCATACCGCTGGGATAGCTCGTGCCCGAAGTCGCTATCTCCGGTTCTCTTGTACCCTCCTCATTCGCTTTTCTTGCGATCCAAACTCTTCATTCTGTGTGAAAAAGCGGCAATCGACAAAGAGCTTGGTAACTCTCTAATCGTCGGTATCATTGTACACTCCGGTCATCGCTCTGAACAAGGATACTCTTACAAACTGATCAGTTTTTTCCCCGCAAAGCCCCGCTTCGAGGAATGCTCCCCACATATTCCACAGTATTTTTAGAGTCCGCCTTGCTGCTCTCTATCGGCAGTTGATGCCGAGCCTATCCGCAGCATACCACGCCCAAGGCACGAAGAGTCGCGTGGCTATATGGAGCAATATGCGAAGCGAAAGCTTAATGGGACTTATCTCTGGCAACCTGGAGGCAACTGCCGATTCGCTGCATAGATTGAACATTTATCCAGACAACACAGCAAAGGGTCGAACCCAGTCTTTGGCAAGCACTTATTGAAGAGTGAAACAGTTCATAACTGGAGATGCCATTATTGGTACACTTGCTAATTATCAAATGACTCTTCATATTCGCTTTAGACAAGGTGACGTTCCGTATCGTGGCTGACGAGATCGGGGAGTTTAGCATGTGCTTAAAAGGTCTCTATGGCCACAAAATGTTTCCTCGTTCTGTCCCAAGAACTTCCTTCTGAAAGCTGAATACGATGTTTTGGCCTAGACTTGCTACTGCTCCGCTCCTGGCACAATGTGTCTTGTCCCAGAACATGCTGCGATTTGCATGTTCGCAGCTGACTGTTGAACGAGCGGATCCACTAGTGACTCCTGGACAGCGACCTTCACCGCATACACATCAGATTATTGGAGGGAATTCTTTCAATCTCACTGTATGATCTTCTTGTTTATTCCTGGGAAACGAGCTGACATTTCCAGATGGAACCCGGTGTATTTGATCCACCCACTCGCTCCACATGCACGTCTTGCACCTACAGTGAAGACTTTAGCAATTACTGGACTGCCTCGCTATACTTCCGGTCGCCTGAGAATGGTACTTTCCAGCGAGTGCCTCAATTCGCCAATGTTGGGCTCCAGCAGGATGGCGGAATGACTGTCTATTACATGCCATATTCAGCGAAGAATAACAAGATGACAGCCTTTAGGCCTGGGTTTCGCATGATCGCCGGCGACCCTACGGCCAAAAAGCCCAACCGTGTTAGCATCTGTCATCGATGTTTGGGCAATGGGGAGGGGTTTGCTCCGTGCGATGCGAAAGACACAGCAGAGCTCCCGAGCAAGTACTGCCCGGGTGGTATTCGGGCGACAGTCATCTTTCCGTCGTGCTGGGACGGTAAGAACCTCGACTCGCCCGACCACAAGAGTCATGTTGCGTACTCGAATAGCGGTGGTCTCGGGTCACCAAACTGCCCCAGTACACACCCAGTTGCTATTCCGCAAGTCATGTACGAGATCATGTGGGACACCGGACGATACAAAAACAATGCATGGTATGGGAATGGTAAACAGCCGTTCGTATATAGCTTCGGGGATGGGTAAGTCGTATCCCGTATCATCTTCAATATTCACTAAATATATGCAGTACTGGTTATGGCCAGCACGGCGACTATCTCTTTGGTTGGAAAGACGACTCTTTACAGAAGGCCATGGATGCTCTGCCAAGTGGCAAGTGTGCTAACGCCAACTGCCAAGTTTTAAAAATTCAATCTGCGCAAGATTCAATGAAGTGCAAGAAATCACAACAAGTGGTTGAGGATGTCGGCGTGGGCGGAAATTGGTTGAAGGAGCTCCCGGGTGGTATGTCGGTTACCTATTGAGTCACAAACATGGGCAAAGTACAGTGTCATTAGACTGCCGTTGCCTTCGACTACTTACAGTATGTACGCATTTTATCCAGATGGCATCTGTTGGGGTGTAGCCAAATTTGTGCTGGTGTGAATATTGATTTCGCATCTGCCGAAACATGATAGCTGCGTAATTGGTCCGGAGATGATTGTTGTGGAAAACAAGGCTGAATGACCGAGCAAGGCCGGCAGCTTCGTGCGAACCAAAATGACTGTCCATGGAACATCCTCGGCAGTCTCAATAGGGCTTGCCCTGCCGAGAGTGACGTGCATGACCCAGAGTTTGATGTATATTTGTACTCTCGACTTCTGCGAGGGAAATCGACAAGTCTGGTAACGATAGCCCACATGCGCTGAAAATGATGCAGGGTGGGCTCGAAGAGGAATGCGTCTTCCAAGGCTTCCATTGCAAGTTCGCTCCCTGCCCTGTATACAGTCACCTTGGAGCATATGCACATGGAAGCATACTAGACAATAAAAGTCATGCGCTTTGCACATGCCGGTCTTCGATGCCAAAGGCACACTGGTGAAAAATGCGATGGCTTTCTTCAACCGCCGACGGATATATTGCTAAACTCTGATTTCCGAGTTTTGATGGTGTTATGTGTAATAAAGTATGGGGTTGATTGTTTGCCATGAGAAATCCAACAAGACGCTCCACACTGCCAAGCTACCCCTCACTCACCCCATCTGTCCTCAACGGCTTCTTTTCGACCCACAACGACTCCGAGGTCCCGAGCCGCAACCCGCTACAGCCGTAGATCCGATGATTTGAGGAAAATAACTGTGCCGCATCGGTGCCGGCTTACTCAAAATAGAACAGCGCTCACAACAGCATGACTGTAATTGGTATGTACATGCGGTACTTAGTGCTCAGCGCGCAACGTTTGTCTTGATGCACGAAGACGACGACGACGACTTGTGCCACATAGCGGGAATTTGAAAGTCATACCAAAGGCCAGTTTTCGACCCGCGATTGTACTCTGGACCGGAAAATACTACAGCTGAATGCCCACCAGTACAGCGAAGAAATATGGCATCTTCAAAAATAGGCACGTTTGCCAACCCTGTCCTTCCGGGCTTCAATCCGGATCCATCAGTCATTCGGGTCGGCGATGACTTCTTTTGTGTTACATCGTCGTTTGAGTATTTCCCTGGGGTCCCAATTTATCACAACAAAGACCTGATCAAATGGGTCTTAATCGGACACGCCCTAACCCGGAAGTCGCAGCTTGATATCAAGACTCCCGAACCTGGAGGCGGTGTGTGGGCAACAACCATTCGGTACCATAACAGCGAGTTTTACATAATTACCAATTCTTTTGACCGGTACCGACCGCAAATCGATGATCGCGTATGGCCTCGGGGCTTTTACGTGAAAACCAGCAACATCTGGAATGATAGTAGCTGGTCAGATCCAGTATACTTTGATCAAGTTGGGTTCGACTTTGACCTCTTCTGGGACGATGATGGAGTGGTATATTTGTCATCCTGTTATCGCAAGATTGATCGCTCTCCGGATCCCAAAATACGAGATTTTGCTGTTCACATATCTACGGTCGATCTCAAATCTGGGACTTTGACATCCAGACCCCGGATGATTCGCGATTCCGCATCCGGTTTCGCCGAAGGTTCCCATCTCTTCAAGCGCAACGGTTATTACTACCTGTTCACTGCTGAAGGCGGTACCGAGTCCGGACACTGCGAGTATGTAACCCGAAGCCGAGAGGGTCCTTTCGGGCCGTGGGAAGCGGCACCGCACAACCCACTGTGGCGTAATACAACCGATGATGGTATCCAAAACACGGGGCATTGCGACGTTGTTGAGGATTCCCAGGGGCAGTGGTGGGCTATGTGTTTAGGTGTGCGACCCAGGAAGGAAGGTAGCTCATGGCGGACCTCGGTCTTCGGGCGCGAAACAATGCTGCTTCCAGTTCGATGGGAGAATGACTGGCCGATATTCAATGAAGGCAAAGCGGTTGCATTGCGAATGGAGGCGCCAAATGGCTACATTGTGGAGGATGACAAGAGATGGAGAGACGACTTCACGGGAATCAAATTAGGGCTGGGGTGGTATAGAAAAAGTAAGGAGAATTATTATTCCTCACTATTTTTAACTAGAGTACGGTTACTGAAACCGCACAGATACCCCAGTGAGACAGGACTTCTCAATGACAGCTCGCTCCAATGAGCTCACACTGTATGGTGGTCCGTACACCTTGTCAATGCCTGCTTGTCCGACACTTTTCCTACGGAAGCAAAAGCATTGGCCTGTTGTTTGGGAAACTCAACTGGATTTTCAGCCTGAGGCACTACGCGTCGAAGCGGGGACTGTCGTCTGGTGGAACCACACTTGCTACGCCAGCATAGGAGTAACACTTGTTAAGCGTAATGGACAGCTACAACGAGCCATCCGATTGACTGATCCAGACAAGGAAGTTAAAGAGGTAATAATCCCAGAGCAAGGTGCAGTAAAGTTGATCATTGAAAGCACTGAGACTAGCTATCGACTAGGATACCGAGATGTCAGTCACGACGCACATGAAGTGAATGAGAGCTGGGCGTGGCTGGGTAACATTGACACTCAGGTCATGACGCGCGCCCCTGAGGTTGGACAGCCTTTTACAGGCATGATGATGGGGTTGTACTCTTTTGGCGAGATGCAGCCTGTTCTGAGTCCAGCGCATTTCGCGTATGCAGAGTTTCGATAGCTGCATTACTGTAGTATAGGCCAGCATCGAGTTCAGGGAGCATGGTAAATGCGATACCGAGGCACGCAGGGAAAAGCATCGGGGGGTTGATGATACTCATACCAAACATATTATGCTCATGCTGTTTTTCAAAAAGGCAGCAGCTAGAACTCACTCGGTCTTTTGTGTTACCTCGGATGTACCCAAGTGGGATCTTTCGAGCATATAAAACTTGCAATCTGACACGAGACAATACGGATTGACACGAACCGCTATAGCTGCGCTGGGCGCGTCATGATTAAAAGGATCCGCATGAGGCCGGGTAGCAGTTCTTGGGAAGACGATTCCCTGTAGAAATCGGGTCCGTACCTTGTCTCCAAGCAATATATGCATGAACCCTTACCCGTATAGAGAAATGAAAAACACGCAACTATTCCGAGCATTCAACTTGGTGGCGATGTGCAACAACAGGATTCTGCACAATTCAATTTTTTTTTCATAGTCACAAGTTGTGGCCCACCACAGTCTTGATATTGACAATAGGCCGACGAGTTTGATCGCCAATGCACCATCTATTTCCTTCGAGGAAAAAAAGATGAGTAGTCTCAATCCTTCGTGTGTCATGTATCTCCTTGAAGTAAAGAGCAAACGCTCTCTAGACCAAAGTCTCATTTACGGAGATTGATTTGCGGGTGTTATCGATACTAAAGGTGCTGCAAAGATCTGCGTCATATACCAGATATGTAGTATAACCTCAGCCCAACCATGTGGCTGTATCGCTTCCAACTGAAAAGAAGAACAAGCATCTAGACGTTGGTTGACATCTTACAATTAAGGTTCACATCCGCTCCACAAGCTTAATGTCAGCTTCGGGAATACCAGCCGCAACCTCGCACCTCGGAACAACGAGGTGTTCGTGGGCGATTATAATAGAGATCGGGAATAGGCATGAGATCCACTTACAATACCTCAGAAACACACGAGGACAGGCGATTTCTCGAACCAGACTGGCCCTGTAACACCTGGATCATGAGGCGAGCACATCGGTCCGATAGGGATAGATAAGGCGGGCTTGGGCATCGTCTAGAACTGATGAGGGATTTCGCACGGGGAAAGGGGGGGACAAGATGCCGCGGCACCGCGCCGCGCAGTCATCATCGGGCCTTTGGTGGGCGTGTGGCATGATGCCAATGTTTGTGGCTATTGCAACGGATCGAGGGCGATGCAATCTCACCAAACTGTCAATACTACGCAACAAGTGACCACAAGTCGGGACGCAGGCCAATATTGGTGTCGGGTGCAGGCTGGCGATTAGCCACAACGGGATTCAACAAGACGAGTTTAAAGTTTCCAAAGAAGCTGCCACGGTCAAGAGCTCAGGGACTCAACTGGCAGGTGCTTGTTCATGACAATGGTAGATGCTTAGGCGAGGGTGGCCCGCCGGGGACCGACAGACATCGGGCCTTTTCTTCACTGATGGCGCAAGCGTTCCGTGCCAATGAGGCGGGCCGGAGCTAGATCAAGATGGGCCTAGAACTATCCAGTGTCCTACTCTACACACAAAGTACATAGTAAGCAACCAGGCACGCACAGACAACGGATGTGGCCTACATGCGTACCTATAGATTGGAGGTTCAGATTGCCGAGTCGTGCAAGGGCCATTACAGGGGAAGCATTTCCTGGCGTATAGCAACAGAGAGAACAAGCCGGGCATCGGAAAGTTGTGGAAAACAAGTGGGGCGATAGGAATGTGGAGCAAGGAGAATTCGAATTAGATTATTATACCCTGGCTATAGGTCTACTACTGCACAAGGGTTTCAGTGTCGTACGACAAGGTCTTTCTGGCTCTCGCTATCGCTGACCCTCGAGCTGTCGTCATAGTGCTGCTCAAAGTGTCGAGAAACGTAAATGTTTTTGCCCAAGATTTTGTCGTCGCTAGACTTATCTAGGCCAACTGTTTGGGAAGACGAACCCAACTCAATATCCTCAGCACCTGCGCGTCTGGCTGTGCTTCTGATGCCATGGGTCATGCTTTTGGATTTGCCTAGTCCATCCGTTCCCAGCCCGTAGCCGTTGCTGCCGCCGCGTGATGAGAAGCCGGGTAGGATCTTGACCATGAGTGGCTTGAGTGCTGGTAGCGATGCACAAACAATGGCCAGATTCATTTCGATTGAGGACCAGTATGCCACTGGCGCACTGTAGTAGGTAGTGTCATGCTGGTTTGCGACAAGAATAGTGAGGGCGTGAAGGCGAAGAATGGATACCACGCACACGAACCATCCAATTGTCAAAATTGCGATGAGGGCTATCTTGGGGCGTTTGGCAATTTGCAGGTTCCAGATAACCTTTACGGGAAGGAAGGCCACAAGAAGATCGGTGAGGATGTTTATGGCGGCATTGACGAACCAGATGCTGTTTGGCCTCTGTCAACAAACGACACAGACAATAGAACACTTTGTGACTTACATTGGGCCTTCCACGCATGAAGATTGTTTCGGTCCACCATCTTTGGCAGGAAGGGGTTCACATGTATACACCGCTACGATGACCATACAAACTCCCCATATGATACACATTCCCATGATAATGTGGAGTGGTATGCGCATCTTGCGTACAGTAAAGATTCGGCCATATTGAAGCAGGATGGATATCTTAGTAAAAGTAAGGCTGATGTTATAGAAGATGATGCTCCAAAACAGGTACTGTTGATCGTCAGCGAATCAACATGCGTGAAAACTGTGCTCTGGTCGTACCTTGAGGATCGGCCGAAACCCTTCAGGAAACTCGATGAAGATTGCATGCTTGCCATTGCCTGCGTTGGCTTCTACGGTGAGTTAGTGGGGCTATTATCTGTACGTTTTGCATGGTGACTTACGAAGAACCTGGAAAACGCTTGCAACAGTGGCTGTCGCCTAAGTAATGTGAGTTGGGTATTCAAATTCACGAGCGTGGTTGAGGCTCACCAAGGACACCACTATTGCATAATCCTAAAAGAGAAATGTCAGAATAAGTCCGTGGCAGGAAATGTTTAGGGAGGTAATTACCTCCCAACCGAGCTGCAGTCCGATATATCGTATACGAGCGAACAGCCGTAGGCTTACGGCAATATAGGAAAGTACCGTGAAAGCAATAATAACGGACTTTGTGAGAGGACCTCTGTCCTCCTGGGCCATGGCAGCCAACTGGTCAGTGGTTAGTTGGTCCATAGTGGTTTGCGAAGAATGGGTCCAGCGACACGGATATGGCCAAGTTATTAATACAAAAGGTCAAAAAGACGAGACCCTGAGGGGTGCCTCCTCGCATGGGACCAGGACTAGTTCTCCTCGGACTGTGTGGCGTTACAGACATGAGGGATGGGATGGAGGTACCTGGTGCACAGGCTTCAGAGGCCAACACGCCCACAACCCGAGATGCCGCCAGTGGTACGCGAAACTCTAGCCCTGGCAATTGCGACGAGGCGATTTGATGGAGGGATGCCTGATGGCTGAGCTAGAATTAGTGCATGCTGTGATTCCCATAGGGCCAATCGTAGCGCATGCAGCACGGAGAGCACTGACAAGTATGCGCCATGCCGTTACTGAAACGAGCAATTTGTCCAGGGCCGTGGCAGTGGCAATGAACAAAGTGGTATTCGTAGTATAGCCGTGCGTCAGTTGCAAATGTGGATGCAATGCAGGGCACTTGGGGTGGTACCCTAGTAGCTGATGTAGATCCGACAAATACTTGTAGGGGTGCAGATGTACAGCATCGGTTGCCTCGGCCCATTCACAGTGACGTGAGGCACAGTCAATGAGCATTTCCGGGTTGGATCGAATAAAGTTCTGTCCAACAGTTCCCCGCGACCAGCTCACTACTTACCGACTAGCAGCCGGATCTGCGGCTTATGCCCAATCGTCCATGCTTCCGCCCGTGATGCAAAGCGCTTTGTCCGTCGGGTCGCGGGACGTAAGTAAGGCCTTTTCCGCACGAGTAAGTGAACAGTTGGCGTCGTAAAAGAGTCCCATGTTCATCTGGGGCACAAGAGTCGATTTCACAGCAACGGTCAGCTGTTTGCATATCTTGTGGGCTCTCGCTGGACATGTCGTATTCGTCGCGCAAGTAATCCACCCCTAGCTGAAGGGCCTGTGGCTCTTCTGCAGCTACCAGCGTGCGAATCTCTGCATGTCGGTATGCACCTCTGTTCATGCGGCTGCAAGAGAGCTGGCTAAGGATATGTAAGTAGTATGTAGCGCGTTGGTTGGGGCCGAGCGACGCGTCCACGTGCATTGCGCAACTTGGGGGTGTGTGTGTGTGCGTGTTCCACGTTCCAAGTCCCAGTAGCTTGGACAAACGCTGCCGATCTCACCGGAATTGGGAAGGAGATTTGGCACATCTGCAAGACACACCAACCCGTCCCTCCAATGCTTCAACTACTTAGTTACGGCCGAAAGCTTAACACCCATTCTCTATGCATACATACATACATACATATATACATGCGTCTATGAGTCGCTAGGTCACAGAGTACCCCACACACATACACACACACACAACTGACAGCTTGGTTGCTTGTAGATTCCGCATTAGGGGAAGCCGATGCCAGACGTTGCTCACCACCAGCTTCGGCTAGCACAGAGTTTACACTACACCCAAGCCATATCCCCACAGCCAGCACGGCATTAACAACCCGACTACTAGAGGAGTCGTTGAACCCAACCGTGGCGCCTGTAGGCTCGTCAGCTCACGGCAACATGGCCTGTGTAGACGAGGATTTGCTTTTTCCCCATACACCTACTAAGCTAAAGAGAGTCGCATATCAGCTCACAGAATACGCCATTCGCTTAGAATACTCTTTGGACATGTTGAAAATAGCATCGTGGGCGATCTATAAGGCTCAGCAACATGAGGTGATTCTTGACCGATCAAAATGACATGTGCGAAGGAGACTACACCTCTGGACCTATCAGTGCGCCAGGAGTGTGTTGTTAAGTCCGAGAAGGTTTTGCCCCGTCAAGGCAGCTAGCATGGCATGGGAAGCTACCGCAAGGCGTTCTGCCTATCACACTACCTTGAGCCATAGAAACAACGGCACATGCAGCAATAACCGTGGATTAAGCTTTTCGTCTAAACGAGGCGAGGGAATTCGTCTGATACATCACGGAGAAGGGCAGTGTCATTGACATTTCCCTGGGTTTCTCAGATTTGTGCTAAGTAAGCATTTGTAAAGAGGAACCACCATCGGATCATGGTCTTGACCCAAGTCACCTTGAGCTGAGATGCTAAGAGGATCGCGAATCTTTATACCTTCTACAAACAAACCTCTAATTACCGCAAAGACACACCTGCCACGGGTGCTGTATCAGCGAGTGCATGGCCAGGCCACCACGTCGACAGTATATAAGCTGCGAGTACAGGAAGATGCATGGGCAACTACAATGGCCCAGACGCCCCGCCATCGCAATTTGCTTTTTCCATGTCCCCTTTAACTAAGCCTTTTGTCCCCTGCGTATGCATCTACCCTCGGCGCACCAGTGTCTAGTTACGGGCTACGGGCTACGGCTCCGTACGAATGACGCGCAAAAACCATCCAACATTAGGCGCCTGCCAAATCATTCTAGCCCGTCTTTTTGGGATTCTAGGCCTTGCATTCGCGTATCGGCACCCCCGCTATCCATCCCAGCCCCAAACTTTGCTTCCATAAGTATTAGCAGCAGTGTCGTCGGGACTAGTGACTCGTGCCTTCGATATACCATCCCACTCTTTCCTCTCCGCCTCACAAAACCGTCTAATTTTACTGGACGATTGAAATGTTTTCTGTTATTTCCAAATGCGGGGAAAGGAGATTGTCAGGTACAACGGTACTGTTGTCGAAATTAGAGTTTTGCACTTGTGGCCAGACTAGAAGCTTTGAGGCAGCGAGTACATGGGAATGTCACTGTACACCGTCCGGTAAAACCTGCCGGGACAAAAAGTCCCTCTGGGAGTGCAATACATAGTTTCGCTTATCAGCTGCTGAGTTGGCAGCAAGCGAAACCTGCTCGTAGGGTTCGTGTCCAACTCCATCATGCATGGCACACAGCGTCAGCAACACCCCCTATCTACTTCGGATTGAGCAGAAAAGGCACGCATCTATCGTAGCTTGTTGCACTAACTGCTCCCCATTTCGCTCATGATTCTCCTTCTCCTGGTCTACCGTCTTTCCCTTGAAATATGGCGATGATAGCGTCTGTCCATGGAGAAGTAGTTCTTGTTCCCCACTCCACTCGCAAACGTTTCTTTTACCTGTTACTGGCTGGCTCTTATGATTCATCTATCAGACCATCGCGAGTAGAGATTGCTGAAGCTTTTAGCACTGCACTTGAAAAGATTTCTCGTGGTGAGAGAGCACTCGGCATGGATGACGAGAAATCTCCCACTGAGCCTCTACATTGTGTTCTCTTATAACAGACGCTAGTCCCTATATATACATCCTCTTTTGCTCCTCATTCCAAGAGACGCTATGTTGGCAATCACTTGGGAAATGTCCAAGAGACTTTCTTCTTTGGCTTGCCTAAACTTATTCTCTGGTCCAGACCTTGCCATTGCCAAGTAGTGGTCATGACCCAGTGTTGTGAGCTCCGTTGTTGGCGAAAAGATTGAATAATGACGTGAGACGAGTTCAGAGTTTGATCCGATGGTGTATTGCTAAATTCACAGGGGCCAATGTTGTATTTTCTGAACACCTGATTTTCCTTAAAATACCCTTCATTTCACTCTTGTTCGTCCAAGTCAACATGATCAGCAAAAAAGTTGATTACGATAGCAGAAAAACTCCTATGTACATTGAAAACAACGAACTTTTCTGTGAAAACCAACACATATCCACATCACTATCCTGTGGGGTGGGACAAATATCTTTTTCGCTCAGTACCAAACGATGATAACCAATCATTGCCAGTGTCAAGCTTCATTACTGAGACCTGCACATTGCAAATGAAACTACCTGTGCTATTGATATGCAGGCATTCATGAAAAATCCAAAACATTGAGCTCTGGCACCACTCCTAGTACTCACTAATGCGTGCTGTATCTTGCGGCCACCCTGTGCCTATAGGCTACCAATGGTTTCGGCCTGCTCCAACGTATGCCCTGTTTCACGCATTCTCCTACAATATTCAACAAGAAATGTTCAGCCTTGAGTCTTTCGTTCGAAGCTTCTCGCTTCCATGCTGGCCACGCTCCTTATCTGATGCTGCCACGACGTCATCGGCACCACCCGTCTAGTTCTTTCTCGATTTCCGGATGCTACATGTATTTTTCCTAATCCCTGCTCCAAGTCAAACGTACTGATGCTACGTTATTTGAGAACAAGGCGAGCTGGCGTCGCTATCATTAGTGCTACAACGTCCTGTCAATGCTATGTCAAGTGTCAATTGAATAAGTGTGCACGGCCGTCGAAAGCAACAATATCCTTGCACTATGTACGTACTCAGGCTTCTTATCCCTATCTATCCCATAAACTTGACGAGCTAAGTACGTGTATGGGTGCAGATTAACCAATGGGATCGTGCAAGCGTCAGATCCGCGGACGTTTTGAACCCTACTTTTTGACAACTGGATCGGAGAGAGGGATCAAAAGCAACGTGCAGGAGGTAGGGCTGATTGACGGAAACGGTCGGCAAACCTAAAACAGCCGACAGAAAGGATCCACCTCGTAGCCGCCTAGCATTGCATTTTTTAAGACCCTCATCCAGTCAGATTTAATTCTTATACTCACAATCAGCGTCGTAGCGCGGAGCGGTCAAAAGAGCATGGGAGAAAAAGTGGGTAGGTAAGCGAATGAGGTGTACACTAAGTACACACCTGGTACCCGTAATCGGATTGCCCTGGGCCCCACCCAGCAACCCCATGCAATCAAAACAAGGCGTACCAGCAATCCGTCTGCCACGTGCCTGTGACATGCTTTTGCCCAGCCTCGCCTTACCGTAACTACCTTCGGCGTACGTAGTCCCTTGGTCGGATGCAGACCAGTCAGCAGACAGAAGCAAGCATTCCCCTCAGAGTGCATGTCATAGCCCGGCTGTCGGTGCCTCAAACTCGGGTCTGCTATTCGTCTGTCCGGAGAGGGCCATTACACCATTTTTGGTCTCTATGCAACGTAGTTTCAAGCGGGCATCGGGCCTGAGGCAGACCAGCCTCATGGCCTGACACACACTTTACTTGTCGTTCTGCACCTGGGCGCGACAGC